AAATATTAACACTATGGAACAATATTCCCAATACATGTTCTATTTATCTAACACGAATTATGTCAAATTAATTATGGATTTCGAGGAGTTCAACGATGTGTGAACGTGTGTGAAAGCTTCGATTATGATAATTGTATCAAAATCAGACTCGGCAGGTAAACAGAAGGTGGGAAGGAGGTAACCTATGTTTTGTATCTTTATTTTAATTAATTATCTATGTATATAAATAAAAATTAATTTTCGTTCGTTAGTCTCGCTAAAAGTCGAGAACGGCTGAACCAATTTGACCAATTTTGGTCTTGAATGTTTGTGAAGGTCCAGAGAAGGATTAAAAGGTGAGAAAAAACGATAATAAATTTTAGGCAGTACGAAGTTGGCCGGGTTAGCTAAGTAGTAATTATATCAAAATATGAATTGTTGTCAAACTATCTGCACGATTTTATTAATAAACGACGTATGTAATATTTTAGGGTCGTCTAAAATACCGGAGCTGCTAACGTATAGCTTAACGGGATACCGGGGCTCCGCCGCGTAGCAGGAGCAGAAACAGGGTCAGTTTTTAGTCAGAAAAAGTTTGACTCTCTCTTCAGCTTCTCAATGCAGGAGAATGTTCCCGCCCCCCCCTTCAAAAAGGTTATCTAAAATTAGGGAGGTTGTAAGAGACCCATAGTAGACGTCACTTATCATGCATCATCCCCGAATGACTCGAGATCGACCGTTAGACCGGTTGGAATCTACATCCAGCAGCTTCCTCCCTTTAGGTAACTGGGTGCTTACTCTTGAAACCAATCTCGATTACATTACAATGCAATTTCAATCACATAATTATTCAATATCAACACTATATAACCACAACCGTAGCTGATAAAATAGTATAGAACGGAATATAAAGTCAAACTCAATACCATTTAGTTCATTCAATATCCACGCAATACGGATGCAATGGGCGCTAGTGTTGCAACTCAAGAGTACGAAATTTCACAATATCAATGTCAATCGATCGGTATTGGATTCAAGAGTAAGCACCTAGGTTGTCTCTCCACTCTTGTCTGATACCTTTCGCCTCACTCAATGCAGGATAAGTTATTAATTCTCCCGATTTGATGATTTTACTCACTCAAAAACAAAATGCACGGCCAGTAATACCATAAGTATTGTGCGAATTAGATATTTATATTTTGTATCATTCCCTGGGAGTTTACCGCTCCATTACAACACTACCTTGAACGAGCCGTCATAGATGGAGACACAATTCAAGGGAAATTCACATGCCATAGTCTTTCTCTTTCTCCAATGCTATTTATAAATGTAAATAAAAAACACGAATACTTGCTGAAATATTTATTTTTCCAATACAATATTCGTTACAGACTTCGCTTCATACATAATAGACTTGTATTATTGTCAATCATAATTTCATTACATATTCGTCCATTATATTCAACAACAACTATACTACGACTAAATATCTTTGACAACATTTATCTAAATAGTTACATAATTATGATTTCATATTTTATTTTGTTGCTATCAAAATGGCGAAGAAGCTGCGAAATATCTAAAAAATAATTCTTTTTGTATTATATTAAGTCTGGCGAAATGTAATTGACGCAAGTCTATGCGTGTAATAATGAATATTCTGTAACTACGTACATAGTTAATTGGATTTATATCTTTGGACGAAATCATTTTATATCAGATTCAACTAAATAATAACGTCATATCATAATTATGTGAAAAATATATAAAGAACAATAAATTGTAGACTGAGATGATTGTATTGTATTTAATGCCTATTTTTCATATAATGATAGTCTCACTGACATAATTATGTGAACAAAATTATATATGGGTATGATTCAGAACTAGGCTTCATGTAAACGGATATGAAATAAAAAGAAATATTGATAAAATCAAAATAAAATGTTTATTCTAAATAAATCAAAATAACAAAGGAACATAAAATAATAAAATAGTAAAATTATATTAAAATTAATAATTTTGTGAAACTTAAATGACTTGATGAGAATTTTTATAACTTTTTTACATTGTTTTGGTCACATGACATAAATTATTGTAGTATATAGTATATAGATGTAGACAAACAATTCAATGTCTCTTCAGACAGACAGATAAGTTTGATTTTAGGTACAAAGTTGTTTAAAGGCTAATTTATATAAATAAGCACCCAACTGCCATACTCAGAAACATTTAATAATCACTTAGTCTATTCCTTAGTCACGATTTTGTTCCAAAAACATTGTGTGGGAGAACCACGCTTCGGCATGAATGGGCTCGACCGGAGTGATACCACGGTGGAGCAGAAAACCGACGTGAAACAAGACTTGCATTGTGTTGTCATGTAAGTGAGTTTACCGGAGGCCCAATTACGCCCACCCCTTTCCCTTTCCCAATCTCAAATTCCTAATCCCCAAAAAGTCGGTAACGCACTTGTAAAACCTCTAGTGTTCCAGGTGTACATGGAGGACGCCGATTGCTTACCATCAGGCGATCACTCTGTCGAATATCGCATAAAAAAGTTACGGACTAGGCTGAGTAACCAACCATTCAATGACATTGAGTACGGCGATGAGTCTATTAAATAAATATGATAATTAGCCCTTTCATACATTTATCGTAGTCGTATCGTTACGACGTTAATACAGTGTATTTCAAAAGACCGTAGATAACAAAATATGTTTATGCTTTTTACAGAATAAATCACTAGTAAACAGTTAATAAAGTATATTAGATACAGTTATATCTTAATAGATTCTTGTGAACTAAAATCTAGATGTAGACGTTTAAACTTATAAGATTACGTAGGAACTTCTACACGTAACATAATAATAATTATCTGTGATAGTACACTGGACACAAGATAGATTATATTGGAAACTAAAATCGTAACTTCAGTATCGTTTTAAAGAATTTTTACATGATAGCTTTAGTTTTTAATTGAATAATTAACCGCTTGAATGCCTGTATATGAGACACAATAGAAAATACATTGTGTCTTGCGTGGATCCACATTTAGACACACGACGGGTTAATAAAGGTCTTGTAAATTTTATATGTGGAAATCTTTTTATGTAGAGAAAGTGCGTAGTCCACGTGTTGGTCATCTATAATTCCAAGTTTATTACTTTGACTGAAATTATGATTCTATTTAACGATAAGTTATGCTGTCAACTGTACATATTTATAAAATTAATCTCAATAGAAAATACATGATTATTGTTATCAAATAAATGCTCTAAGTTCAATCAGTACTGTTAGACATTTAACCTGTTATTTGTATATAGAAGTATGTTACATTATTCCATGTATCTGAGCAACTAAGATTATTGTATTATAAGTGTAATAATAAGAAATAGAAACCATTTTTTTCTTTGTTAGACCGTAAAATACAGGACTGGCAGACTCTACATTAACATCGACAGAAGTCGAGAACTTCGTTGACAGATTTTCGACCTTATCCATTTGTAATTAGATAGAAAATCATGTAGACACTTCCAGCCCTAGTTACTAAGTTACAAAAGATACATTTTACATAAAAATACTGACTACAAGTCGTACAATCTAACGGCCGAAAATAATAACCGACTTCATTACAAAATCTCTTTGATAATAGTTCTTTTGATTTTTCTTCAATAACCAAGATCAATCTAGGGATTTTAAATTAAAATCAGTGAATAACTTCGGTCGTAAAATAATAACATTAAAAACAGATATATTTATAATATAAACAACAATGTATCGAATTCATATGACACTAGAGATCACTGTCCGTTCACGTTGACATCAAAAAATAAAACAATTTTTACAAACATCACATTTTACTGAAGTAAATTTCAATTTAAAGAAAATTTTACACGTAACCAAATAACATTTGGCATGATTTCTATAATAATTAATGAAAATTGTCTCTAAAACGTAATATCGACCAAAAAGTCTAAAAAAGGAATGTGATTACACATAAAATGATTATATCAAATAGTTTACAATATATATAATAATGTTGTTTCTTAAAATATTGTTAAGATCTACAATAGTATTCGACAAATTATTTAATGTACGTCAACTTATACATAGGGTACTTTGTTCAAACAAACTGCATTTAACTATGAACAATTTATAATTTTTGGTAAGCAAATAAATCTCAATTGTTCCAAATTATTATAACAATGCAGCCTAAACATTATTGTCGTACTTTCCAAATAAATAATTTCAATACAATGTGATTAAATTGATATTGTAATTTCAAATCTCCTACGTTAATATAAGATCTAGTTTTGTTTAACGCTGGTAACGAAGCGTCTATAGCGGCCTAATCTCGCCCTAATGCTACAAACGCAGATATTTTTTGTTCTGATATGTGGCGACTGCGGGAAAATGGACTTTAAAGACATTACTTCATATTGGTTGAGGTTAAAAATCGGTTGTAGTTGTTGATAACTTGTTCTCTTTATATTGAGTCCTACAGCCGCCAAATCATCACAAAATGGGACGCGAATAAGTGACATTTTAGTCACAAAACGTTGTGCTAGCCTAATCAACTGTTATACACAATGTCCTATAGTTTGTCTGGACCAAATAGATGGAAGACACCAATATTCCCACACCTAGATTTTACCTTAAAACTGAGAGTCATTGAGAGACGGTAAATATCTCTAAATCATCTACATTTAGACGATTACGTGGGGATTATGAGACCTCCCCCTTTCCCCTTTTCTCAACATCTTAAATCTGCGACCAGTTACCGAGAGGTTGAAACGAATATAATTATCTTAACACAGTGACCTAGAGACGGGTGATATCATCCTTTACATTTTCGATAGTTACAAGGGGATTACGACACACCCCCTTTCCCCATTGCTCAGCAGATATACTCCGGCTTTAAATGATGTTTTGTCCAAATATATTGATCCTGTATTCTTCTATGGTCCATTGTGTATACTAGTAGTAAATCCACGGTACCAGTGCGTACGTAGTGTCGTTCAGTGGTCGTAGATGACGCCGCCAGGTCCGGGCAGACTGGACTTGCCGGACAGGTATGTGTCCACTGCTCTTGCCGCCTGTCTGCCTTCCGCTATCGCCCACACGACTAGCGATTGGCCACGACGACAGTCTGTGGAGAAAGAAGTAATTGTATATCTAAATAACTACAACTCTAGATGAAAGAGGCCTTAGTATGCGTCCGGCGCTCTGATTGGCTGGCTTCAATGTACCAACCAATAAGAGCGCCGAACACGATCTTGTTTCGATTACTTTAAATATAAAACTAACTCGTACTAAGGCATCAAATCACATTGGGTAATATTAGCCTTAAAACAAGTATAGGCGAGAAAGTATATGTCATAATATATGTACTACTAGCTTTTACCCGCGGCTTCGCTCGCGTCACAAAAGGATAAAACGTAACCTTTGTGACATATATCAATACACACATCGTCATCTATACCAATACTTTTGTTTTCCCTCGGGAATATCAATTTTTTCCGGGATAAAAAGTACTCTAATATTTAATCCGGGCTTCTAACTTTACGTCTGCAAAAATTCAAAGCAATCGGTTTAGTAGTTACGGCGTGAAAGCGGAACAAACAAACAAGTAAGGATGTTTGTGTCCGGTTGTACGAGTACCTACGACTAGTTATAAAAAATATTAAAGTAATACATACCTCCAGCAGCGAAGACGTTACTGACTGGTGTCTTGTAAATGTTCGATTTCTCAGTTTCAACGTTGCTTCGAGCATCCAGGGGAAGGTCTGAGAAACAAATATAATGATTAGGGTTTGAATTTTATGTGATACAGACAAAACTTAACCATATGCAAGACTTGAAGGCATCTGACGTGATCTTTAAATATTCAAATTCCTAACAAGCGAAGGGTGATCGGTCCTGGCCGCAAAGAATATTAAGAATGTAATGTATTCTTTGGCTCTAAAAAATAGGTAAGAGTCAAGATAAAGATATCAATAAATCCACGGGTAATAAGATTTTGTAATAGATCTATTACCTAATACATTAGGGAATTTCCGTACCAAAATAAATGGTAGACTTGCGAACTTACCAAGTTGGTTAGCGACATATCGTTCAGGTCCGAGGAAGCCCATGGCGAGCAGTACGAGGTCTGCCTTGTAGACCTTGTTGGTGCCGGGGATCTCCTTCATCTCCCAGCGCCCGCCCGCGCCGCGCGTCCATTCTACTTCTACTGCTGATACACCGCATACATTGCCTTCACCTGGAGGAAGATAACATTATATGGTTAGGATTCAGAATATAATAATTTTAATAACGCAATTTAGACTGTATACGGTTGGCGCGGTGGCTAGGCAACTGACTGGCGGGTTCGATTCCCGCACGGAAAAACTCTTTGGGTGATCCGGGTCGGGACTGGGACCCGATGTTCCGGGTCTGGGTGTCATGTGTATGTAAGCTTGTATGTTTGTAAACGCGCCCCACGACACAGGAGGAAAACCTAGTGAGGGGCAACGTGTAAAAAAAATATTTTATGTGTAGATTTCTATAAAGAAGAATGAACAAGTAGCATTTGATGTAGGCTATCAATTTATCAGTCCTCGTTAGAATTTTTAAAGCCGTAAGTACGTTTCATTTACTTATATTTTGTGTGCATATTAAAGTTTAAAATTGTAATTAGAATATAAAACTTACGCACTATAATATAGCGAGTCACGTAATGTTTTTAAAATAAATGACATTTAATTTTTTTTTCAACTTATTTGCCTTTAAGATCTAATCTTTGCAATCTCACACAAAATTCATGGAAACAATAGTTATTAACATTTTGAAAAGCCTATTAGATATTTTTTATGCTTAAAATCTTGAATTTAAAATAAAGCTAGGTAGTACGATTACAATCATACACTTAGAATATATTAAGTAACACAACATCACAACAGCCTTTTTATCCCCGAAGTGGTAGGCAGAGGTGCACATAAACTTAATGCCACTGTACAATGTAACACCCACTTTTCACTATTTATGTTATGAGTCCCATATAATAGGGGGTGAGCCTATTTCCACACACCGGGCATGATTTCAGACTCCGTGCTACTACTGAGAATTAAAAAATCCCAGTAATAATTTGCCCGATCCGGGCAACGACCCCTAAACCCCTTGCCCGTCAATCGCACTTGCGACTACTTGGCCAACGAGCCAGTCAATATTTTAAGTAATCTGATTATAACTACTTAGTTCTATGTAAATACTAGTAATAGGACATGTGATTATGTACTTAGTATTTTTTTTTTATGGAATAGGAGGCAAACGAGCAGACGGATCAGTTTATGGTAAGCGATCAGCGCCGCACATGGACACCTGCAACACCAGAGGAGTCCCAAGTGCGTTGCCGGCCTTTTAAAAAGGAATACGCTCTTTTCTTGAAGGTTTGAAGGTTGTATCGGTTCGGAAATACTGCCGACGATAGATCATTCCACAGTTTTGCTGTATTGAGAAATTAGACTGAATAATAAACTTACCATCATCCAAGAATTCTTTGGTAAGTGTGGAGAACTTCCTCGGGTCGTTGCCGAACTTCAGCTTCACTTCTTCGTGGCCATAGTCCACTCTATGAACAAAAACAACAAGCTTTAAATACGAAATAATACTAAAGGATTTATTTGTAACAAATAGCGTGGAATGCCAACTTATGAGAACACATATCATTATCATGATCAATCAAGAGCTAGTATCCACTATTAGATTATAGGCCAACTCTAGTAAAACCACCGGGTACTCCATTAGGTTTTCCACAGCTAGAGATCGCGGCTGCCCAGTCCCCAAGCAGTCACCGATGACAGCTCTCCAGTTACTCCATTATAGACCTTATTTCCGATGTTTAGAGACTACTTTTGTATGAACAAATGTTGTGTATTTTTCATAATCGAGGATTAAAAAGTTATCGCAGTTTCAAAGGTTCAGATTTATCACTGTTGTCCAGTTTCTGTTGATTATGTAGTTCATTATTTTATGGGGTTACTAGCTGACCCGGTAAACGTTGTTTTGCTATATAAATCATTTCGTAGAAGGGTGAAAATTGAGGATTGTATGTATTTTTGTATGTTGTATCATAAAATATAGAAATTAAAAATGTTGTCTAAAAAATAAATAAAAAATTTGGCGTGGACTACACCTAACATTTAGGGGGATGAAAATAAATGTTGGCCGATTCTCATAGATATCGGATAAGCACAAAAAATTTCATCAAAATCGTTCAAGCCGTTTCGGAGGAGTATGGCAACTCAAAAACTGTGACACGAGAATTTTATTATAGAGTTATAACAAACGAATCCTCTTTACTCCGCCATCATGTTAAAATGTCTTTAGTAAATAGTGTGTTATTTTAAACCAACCTGAAGACTCGTGGCCACTGCGGCCATGGGTTGTCCTGTCCGCGGGTCGGTTTGGGTTGCGGCAGGATCTCGAAAGTCGTGATACTCTTGGCACCCTGGCGTAACGACGTCGCTATGCAGTCACATCTATGGAGAAGACAAACAATTACCTACATGATTCTAATATAAAAATATTGCTAAGTAGATTATACTTTCATAAAAAAATTCAGTTTAATTTTTCCGACTATATCTTGTTTTAGAATGCCAATGCCATAGATAAAAGATAATGATTTATCAAGCTTTATGGCCGAATGAATATATCAGTTTCTTTAACTTTTAAGAAGAAAACTTAGTTTATTAGATAGAGCTTATTAAATTCAGTGATTTAATAACTCAGGTCAAGCTATCGCTTTGAAATCTTGCAATAAACTTGAAAATGTATCACAGAAATTAAACAGATACGAACCTACATTTCTGTCAGTGGTTTAACCCGTATATCCAAGCGGTCACCGGTGACCGCTCTCCACTAACTACATTATAGACCTTATTTCCAATGTTTAGAGGCTACTTTTGTATGAACAAATTTAAGGGATGATTTTCAACAATTTTCAGCGGGTTAAACATAATTACCTATCTAAACAGCAAACAACTATCATTATAAAAACCAACGTACCCAGTGTCACCGCCTCCAATAACGAGTACATCTTTATCCTTAGCATTCAACTCAGGATGGTCCTTGGCCTGATGATGGTGGGTGGCTCCCATTTGTTTCTTCTGCCAGCTCTCCAGGAACTCCATCGCGTAGTGGATGCCGTTCAACTGGCGACCCTTTAGAGGCAAGTCGCGCGGCCACGTCGCACCCATGCAGAGGACTAGCGCGTTGTATCTAAAGAAGGGAGAAGGGGTTTTATGATAAAAGTGCAAAACATGTTATACAGTCTATATTCTAAAAATAGGGACTTTTAACTTGTAACAATTTTCTTGTTTCGCGATGTTCATGCCTATAGTCACGATCCACTGGAATTACTTATACAATGCCATTTAATTCTGGATCGACCAAAATTGCAATCATGTTTCCCAAAAAAGTCTTGTCTTTTTATACAATGGAATAATATTATCTTCTTACAATTTGAGGGATTTTCCGACTAGTTTCAAGCCATACCGGCTCTTAAATAAGGCTATATTCGAAAACTGGTCATTCTCCATTTTTCCTAGATATACAAGAAATAAATACTTACTCATTAGCCAGGTCACTAGCAGAGATGTCCCGTCCTACATCGACGTTGCACTTGAAGGAGATTCCTTCAGCGGTCATGAGTTTGACCCTCCTGGCGACGACTTCCTTGCTGAGCTTCATGGTGGGGATGCCGTACTGGAGCAGGCCGCCCGGACGGTCGTTGCGCTCGAATACTGTCACCGTGTAGCCCGCCTGGATGATGGATAATAGTTAGCGAAAATATCATGGACAAAATATAAGAAGTAGATAATGGCAGGATAATATAAAAAATATTATTATTTATGCAACAACCGCAACCGATAGTAAACTACTTGTACTTTGTACTTTTTACAGAAATAACCTGATATTTTAAACTTAATTAACATTGCATTAAGATTTAAAAAAATAATTAGATCATACCAAAGACCAAGACCGGATGCCAAATTACCCTCCCCCCTTTCCTCAATCCCTGAATCCCAACAATCCTCAAATTGCTAATCTCAAAAGGCCGGTAACGTACTTGTCAAGCCTCTAGTATTCCAGGTGTCCATGGGCGACGCCGATTGCTTACCATCAGGTGATCCGTCAGCTCGTTTACCGGTGTATCTCATAAAAAAAAGATCATATTTTCCAGTGCCCATAAAATAGAAGATGTTATTATTACCTTATTCAGTTGGTGTGCGCACGCCAATCCCGCAGGTCCTGATCCTACTACAGCCACTGTCTTACCATTCCTGTGTGTAGGGATCTGGGAACAAACAGTTTAATTAGTTTAAACATTATGTTTGAGAACACAAACTGTCACTGTAATAACTCTACGACAAAACAACACATGCAACTAGTTTCTTAACAGTAACAGAATAGAATGCATTTTAAGGCATCTTAGTATATGCTTACTTAATATTATAAATCGGAAAGTGAGTTTGTTTGTTCCGCTTTCAGGCCGTAACTACTAAACCGATTGCTTTGAATTTTTGCAGACGTAAAGTTAGAAGTCCAGATTAAATAATAGGGTACTTTTTATCCCGGAAAAATTTGATATTCCCAAGGGAAAACCAAAGTATTGGTATAGATGGCGCTGTGTATATCGGTATATGTCACATAGGCTACTTTTTATCCTTTTGTGATGCGAGCGAAGCCGCGGGTAAAAGCTAGTTGATTATAAAAGGGGCTATAGTTTACATTAGGTATAAACTGTTGGGTCTTGGGTATGTTGTCGATTATAATATTAATTAACGTATAGTAGTGTATGTATTTACCTCAGGCTGCACCCATCCACTCTCGAAGGCGTGGTCGATGATGGCGCACTCGATGTTCTTGATGGTGACGGCCGGCTCCGAGATACCGAGGACACACGCGCCCTCGCATGGCGCCGGGCAGACGCGACCCGTGAACTCTGGTGAATTAAATTTAATATTTATTTGCAAGTCTTTTCTTTTTTTATACACTAATAATTTCGATATACAGATAATATTATTATCAGACGTGCCTTATGTTGGTTACAAATATTAAAACTGAACTTTACATGTGTGGGAGCTATGCTTCGGCACGAATGAGCTGTTTTGAATAGTGATTGACCACAGTTTGACAAAAAAGCTTGCATTGTGTTTCCGCTTGTGAGTGAAGTTCTCGGAGCCCCAATTCTCCTTCTCCATCCCCAATATTCCACTTGCAAACTTGCAACGTACTTGTAACTAATTTGCTCTATGCCATAAAAAATGATCAAGTATTTTTAAACATACCTGGGAAGTTATTAGTCTGCAGCAGCTGACTGAGTGCCTGCTTCCAGTCCCCGCGGAAGACGAGGTCGTTCCACTTGGGAATAATGTTCCCTAACGGACAGCCATGCTGCGACTGACAGAAGGGCACGCCGCAGTCCATGCAGCGCGCGGCCTGCGGCCGGAGCCCGCGCCGGACGTGCGCGCTGTTGTAGATCTCGTCCCAGTCGCGGGAACGTTTCTCTGCCGGACGGTACATCGTTGTCTCGCGGGGGTATTTCATGAAGCCCCTGGCGATAATAAGAAAAATATGTTTTAAACTGTCAAACATCGCGAGGACACCGGTGACCGCAACTTATTGTTCTTTAATTGTGTCTATAATGATGGTACTCAAAGGGTTAATAAAACATGTTAAGGGCTTTAAAGTTAGTAAAAAAAGGTTATTTTATAATATCATGCTGCGTTTTCCACATAAATATGTATATTAGAAGCATGAGAGTATGAAGAAACAAATAATAGCAACATACAGAATCATCAAAGATTTAGTACAATAATTCTATCTTTAATAACGAATGCTCTAGGTTCCCAATATAAATGAAAACTACACAAACAATCTGAAACTTTTACAAACTATTATAACAAGTAACTCCATCATGCGCAAAAAGTTTTTTTAGTAAAACCTCCTTTTATCTAAACTTCCACAGCAAATAGATTTCCATATACAACAATAAGTTACCTAGTTTTATCCAAAATCTTCTCCAGATTCTTAGTCTCCAGTTCCACATCTCTGACAGTCTCCTCAATGTCCAGGACTCCATTCTCCGCCTTTCCATTGGCTTCTACCTTAGGCTGGCTCGGCTGTTTGATGGCTAACGTCTTCAAAGCGCGCTGGTATTCATACGGGAATACCTTGATGAATTTCTTAGCAGGTTCCGGCCAAGTCTTTAGAAATTCTTCTGCGATTAATGAGCTGGGAGAAGAGAATATTATGTTAAATATTTATGACGAAATATACTGATCGTGATTGCTATAAAAAACCAATATCGTACTAACGATACCGGTACAGTAAACAAACCTAAATGTATTAATCTTTAGCAGATTTTGAACCTTAGTTTTATAGTTAAGTTTAACTTGATTCTTTCTTGCTACTCTAAATTGACTGCACGGTTGCCGCGGTGGCTGGGCAACTGACTACCGCGCAACGTGCCGCGGGTTCGATTCCCACACGGAACAATTCTTTGTGTGATCCACAGATTGTTTTTCCAGGTCTGGGTGTCATGTGTATGTAAACTTATATGTTTGTAAACGCACCCACGACACAGGAGTAAATCCTAATGTGGGGAAACGTTTTATCAAAAAAAAAAGACACGCGCTAAAGTGACGTTTGGCTAAAGGCACTGAGTACGCGAAGGTTGTTGAACGAACCAAAGGAGTTAAGTAAATATTGAAACAGTCACTGGACAACTTTAGATGCATATAAATAACATTTAAATGCCTAAAATAGGTATCAGTGAATATCATAGAATAATATTTCTTAAGCAACTTACCCAGTGTACTCGTGGAACTCCCTCAACAGTTGCTGTACGTAGTCGAGATCATCCTGTAGTTCCAGCGGCAACAGTTCCACCATCTCGTGGTTACACTTGCCGGAGAATGAACCGTCGATGTCGTACACGTACGCGATACCACCTGCAAATTATTATTCTTGTATTTGAGAATAATGCTTGAAAAACATGATTAGGATTCATCCTCGTATGTGGAAGGTCTTTGTTCGTCAGTTGAGGTCTTCAAAACAATGCAGAACTATGCTCAATTGTATGGATTTAAATTAGTGTTATATCTAGGGTTTTGGTTGTATTAATCAAGCTTTATTCAACCAAAACCAAAACCACTCTTCCAGTAGCAAAATTTACTAACTCGTTAACACACTCACTTTATAATATTTAATGTGTATTATAACAAAGATACTTCGGCTAAGTGACCGTACGTGCGAATGCTGAGCAAGGGGTTTTGAGTTCGATACCCGGGTTGAGCAAAGTATTACTGGGTTTTTAAAAAAAATCTCAATAGTACGAAGTCTAGAAATGTGCCCGGGTTATGGCAATAGGCTCACCCCCTATTATATGGGGCTTATAACATAAACAGTGAAAAGTGGGTGTTACATTGTAAAGTGGTCTTAAGTGCCGTAAATGTGCACCTCTGCCTACCCCTTCAGGGATAAAAGACGTAATGTTATAATGATAGTAACAGATTTGTAGATTTCTTACCGCTCATCCCTGCGGCGAAGTTCCTGCCGGTGAGTCCGAGTATGAGCGCGACGCCGGCCGTCATGTACTCGCAGCCGTGGTCGCCCACGCCCTCCACCACGGCCACGCACCCACTGTTGCGGACGCAGAAACGCTCCGACGCTATGCCTCTGTATAAGTTTAGATAGAGATCAAAGTTTTAATTGATAACCCAATTTTTTGCTTGGATCTTTGTTCATGTATATTGCAGAAATGCTAAACGATTAATATGATTAATATTGTTTTTTCTGAGGTCATGGTTTAAGGTTTTTTCATTCAGTAGCTTGAGCGTAAAAATATAATATACTGAGTAACCACGAATTTACAATACCAATTAGGAAGTGATTTAATTAGACCATTATCTATCTAGTATTCTTGGTAGGTACAGAAGACATTTAACAATTCAATGAGATATTTTACTTTGAGTAAAATAACATAATTATTGTATGCTTAGTACCAACCTGAAATAAGCCCGTCCACATGTAGCTCCATACAGACAGACATTTCCGACAATTACGTTCAAGTGGGACTCGAACGGCGACGCCTTCGGTGGGTAGATGATAACCGTGCCACCAGACAGGCCCTTGCCTGAAACAAAACAAATATTAGGTTAGCTATGTGACAGTTTTTTTTTAATAATTTTAACAACTGAATAATTATTTTAATACGAATGCCGACTAAAATATCTTATAACGATTTCTTATTCAGGTGTTATCAACAAAAAGCATCGAATAAATATAGAGATAAGAGGAGTGGAAGATGTCATTTCAAAGTTTACTTACCGACATAGTCGTTAGCATCTCCCTCGAGTGTAACAGTGATGCCCTTGGACAGGAATGCACAGAAGCTCTGTCCGGCGGAGCCAGTCAGAGAGATGTTCAGGGTCTTGCCCTCCGGGAGACCATCATCACCCCATTTCCTGCAAGGTAGAGATTAGAGATATATTTATAAGCAAAATATTCGATATCAAATTTAGATAGATAACAAAAGGTTTAACACATAGTCTTCAGTGTTAGTATAGTACTGAATGGTTCTTACATTGCGATATGGTATGAGAGCGTGGATGTGAAGGCTCGGTCCTCGTTGGTGATCTTCATGTTGATGTCTACATGTTCGGCAGTGCCATCAAACAGACTGCTGCATTGCTCTATCAACTGGTTGTCCAGACGCTTCTCTAACTGGAAGTCCTGTAGACAAGGTTGAATTTAGACAAAGATTTCGAGCCAGGGTTAAGTTATAGTTGACGAAACATTTCCACTAATTCAGACTTCATTAAGTTTTTTCTAGGTTATACTCGTAACGTTCACGTACAGATGTTACAATCTCACCAAAAGTTACATTAAATCGTAGGAACAGTATACCAGAGTAACTAGTGATGTTTTCTTATAATATACATTTTATTTCTTATTGGTCAGGGTTGAAAGTCATCTGTACACATAAGCTTCATTGAGATTGCATTAGCTTTGCCATTGATCAACATAATGTAGACAAAATGTTCAAGAATCAATAAAAACAGACAACAAACCTGAGACTTAGAGCCTCCAATAATATTGACGCCGGGTCTCATATGCAGCGCGTTCTTCAATATAAGGCTGAGGTTCAACATCCTGGCCTTAGGGTTCTCGTTGTTCTCCCGGACCTTCAGAAGGTCGGTGCGACCGATCAGGTCTTGGAACCGACGGACTCCTACTTCTGCCATGTGTTGACGAACCTGGGTAAATGGGAGAATAAGTTTAGTATTAAATTGCTCACTCTTAAGCTTGTAATAGTAAAAAGTTATATGAATTAGGGAAACATGTTTTAGTTGTTTCTAGACATGAGTAACTAGATCACGTTTGTTTGGCTAAGTAACAACTTTATAAGTATTACTAGCGACCCGCCCCGACTTCGCACGGGGGCAATATGCATGTATTACACATAAACCTTCCTTAAGAATCACTCTATCTATTAAAAAACCCATATCAAAATCCGTTGCGTAGTTTTAAAGATCTAAGCATAGATAAGGACAGACAGACGGCGGATAGAGACTTTGTTTTATACTATGTAGTGATGTTTGTTTAGTTTCTGAGCCCTTAAAAAATGCACAATATAAAAGACAATGTGTCTCGCGTAGAACTACATTCTGACATACCATGGTTTAATTAGCAGAGTAATTTGTATTTGTAATTGCATTAACACTACACGGCAGAAAACCCTAATGAAAGAACAAATAAGATACTTATTTATCTGTAAGGTTATAACCATACCTCTTCAGCGAGCATGAATAAATAGTTGACAACATGTTCGGGTTTCCCGGCGAACTTCTTCCTCAGCACTGGATCCTGTGTCGCTATACCCACGGGACATGTGTTCAGGTGACACTTCCTCATCATCGTGCAGCCTGGGGAGGTAGGATCAACAATTAGCTTTACAATTTTCAGAGTGTGGTTCCTTGGTTATTAAATTAGTTACTAGAAACAAAACACGTTCAGTTAGTCGTGGACTGAACGACTGCTAATAAAGGGGTTAGATAAAGAGAACTAATTACTGGGCTTTTTTTAATGGGACAAGCCCACCACAATCTTCCGAAACCGCTGCAACTCCTGTAAGTCAGGATCTACAGTAGATACAACCATGAAAACACCGGAACACTGAAGTCCGGCGCGTCCCAGGGACATGGACAACTGTCTTGGTTCACGCAAAGTGAATCAGAAGATATTATAAGAGGAGAAGAAAAACGCGATAGTTTCCACTTCCCTCGGTGAATTACTGCAGGAGACAGAATAAATTAAGCCTAAAGGCACAAAGAGATTGTACAACTGGGTGAAGCCCAGTCGCCAAGCACCACGGAAAATTGACTGAATTACTGAGCTAATCAATTTCCCAAAAAATTTATTTATTATGTTTGGAGTTTTGTCCACAACATTTAACATGTACACTATACTCTTATTTATGCCCTTACTCAAGGAATAAACAATGTTGAACTTACCGAGTGCAATAAGTGGTGCAGTACTGAATCCGAACTCGTCAGCACCGAGCAGTGCGGCGACCATCACGTCGAAACCTGTTCTGATCTGACCGTCAGCCTGGACTACCACTCTGTAATAAAATAAATTATTATTAAAACTGAAGACACAGAGATTAGGAGGGTAGAGAGAGAGAAGACAGAAATTAAGAGAAAGAAGGGGGTAACAAAAAGATATAGAGAGGAAATCTTGCTTCGTTATTGTTGAGTCGGCTCCAACGGAGTGATACCTCATAGAAATCAGTAGTGAAACAACAATCACCTATCCTATATACCATAAATAAGTACATAGTACACGTACCTAGACCTCAAGTCGTTAAGTACGAGTACTTGATGTGTCTCGGCGACGCCCAGCTCCCAGGGCAGGCCGGCGCTCTTGATGCCGGTCCATGAACTGGCGCCAGTACCGCCGTCGTGGCCAGAGATCACTATGTGCTCGGCTTTACCCTGGTGAAAGAATATATGTTATTAAATATTCTCGTGTGATAGACGAAATTTTTGCTGGCCTATAGATAGTCCATCATCTAAATTATCAATAACATTCATATGAATTGGTGTTCCATAATTTTATTCATTCGCATATACAGGTGTGAAGAAACATAATGTATGTCGTCGTTAGCTGTAAGCTCGCCGTCGTTACATGTAACTTAACATTTCAATTCATGATCTGCTGCTGCTCCTTTGGAACACAATAACTAATCAGATGAAAACACGATAATTCTTCTCTTGACACAATTCTAATTCTTTTTCCCTATATATACATTATACACTATACAGCTCGCCTACAGAACTTTTGTTTTAATTCATAAAATAAGGGTTACAAGTTTCATACACCATTCATTTCAAAGCTATCAAAACCTACCTTAGCGACTCCCGAAGCGACAACACCAACGCCAACTTCAGAGACAAGTTTGACAGAAATCCTGGCTCGAGGGTTGGCAGCCTTCAGGTCGTAGATGAGCTCTGCCAGGTCCTCGATGGAGTAGATGTCGTGGTGAGGAGGCGGGGAGATTAGACCTACGCCTGGTACTGAACAACGGGTCTTTGCTATGTCTTCTGTGACTTTGTAGCCTGGAATTTGAATAATACGGTGGTAGGTGAATACTTTGTTACTGTTGTTATCAAAATAAAATGTCAACTAATGTTAAACATGGGAATTAGTTGATACTTAATTGAATTTGCAAAGAAATTGTGTAAATTAATAAGTTTCGAAAACCCCAAGGTATTTATTGGGCCCCATTTGAAGTGAACAATGATATGAATGTTTTATTCGAAAACATAATTTGAACACCGGTTGGATAATAGCATGAACATTTTTATCGCACGGCGATGCGCATTGTTCTTTCGTAACATTCTCACTTTAAACATCATTCTAATTAAGAAATTCATTATTAATTAGTAGTAAATCATCAAGTCAATCTTCTAAATTCCTCGAGAATATTGTTGTTACTATCTGCTACTAAAATTCATAAGTATGATAACGTACCAGGCAATTCCCCGCCTTCTCCAGGCTTAGCTCCCTGCGCCATCTTGATCTGCAAGTCGTCCGCGTGAGCGAGGTACGACGCGGTCACTCCGAACCGACCCGACGCTACTTGCTTGATGGCTGAGCGCTTGTTGAAATCGGGATCCTAGGACAATCATTGATATTAATAACTACGTAATTATAAAAGAAAATATTGCTAGAGAAGTTCAGTTTTTATATCAGTCTATCTTTGTGTTTATGCAGTTTATTTACGTCATGACGACTAATTACATAAATACTCAACTAGTTCCGAGCCTAACCAGAGCTCTTAGTCACTAATAAACGGTCTGAACATAGTCTTCTTTGAGGAAAAGGTGAAAACATTATTTAATTTTCAATGTGCAAGAACACCTGCCGGTTGCATATCTTGTTATTATTGCAGGATGACATTAAATCTCAAAGTATTTTTGCAATAGCGACGATTAAACGTCCTGTAATTTTAGTAACATAATTCATATACCTGGTTAAGATATCTGTCAGCATTCTCTCCACCTTCTCCAGTGTTAGATTTACCGCCGATACGGTTCATGGCAATGGCCAGTGTAGTATGCGCTTCCAGAGAAATGGAACCGAATGACATTGCACCTGAAAGAAAAAAGTTTTTTAATGTCACTGTTCTCGTGTCTCAACTTGCGTGAGACATGCTATATCGAGAAAGTTGGACTGGTTTGATGCTACTACCGATGTCTTTGATCATGAACTCCGTTGGTATTAACTAAAGAGCAGGACGCAAAGTGTGAGTTGTATAAATCTTGTCTTTATAAAAATGTATCTTATTGTAATGGGGTGAAAATAATTAATAATGTACCTGTAGCAAATCGCTTGACGATTTCAGAAGCGGGTTCCACTTCGCTCAATGGGATGGGCTCATCCAGTTTCACGAGCTCCAGTTGACCACGTAGAGTGCATGCTCTTATCGACTCCAAAGCGCTCTCCCTGAGGAAATTAAAGAAAGTAAAAACTACCTATAATTTTGCTTGTAAAATACTTAAGCCTATGTCCAGTGGTGCATATTAATATGGTGAAATTAATTCTATTCACTACAGTTCTAACAATCATAAGAACCTTTTTGTTGTTCATAGTTTTCGTATCGTAAAAGTATGTATTACCTGTACTTATCATAAGCCGATGAGCTCTTGTTAAGTGCAGCTTCTTGCAAATTAGCGATGGACATTGGGTCGTTGATATGCTTCTCACCTCCCGCGCGCCAGTGGTAGTTACCGGGGTTCCTAGAAAAATAACAATTATTATTATTACACCTTTTTATATTTTTCACATAACACTTATGACTATTTATGTTATGAGTCCTGTGTTCCAATAGGGGGTGAGCTTATTGCCATATACCGGGCACAATTCCAGACTCCATGCTACTACTGAGATTTTTTTTAAAAACCCAGTAATACTTTTCCCGATCCGGGAATCGAAACCGAGATCCCTTGCCCGGCAGTCGCACTTGCGACCACTCGGCCAACGAGGTAGTGTAATTATATTTTTACATGGGACTCATAACTTAAAAAGTGAAAAGTAGGTGTTACATTGTACACTGTACTGTACAGTGTCAAAGTGCCGTAATGTGCAGCTATGCCTAGCCTTTCGGGGATTAAAAGTGTTTCTTTCTATGTTATGTTTTATATTTGTCTTGTACAGTTCTCTTCTTAATTCCGATTAGTATTTACCTCAAAACCAGTGCATCTTGAACATCTCCGTAAGTTAAGGCATGTCTATCGAATATCTCCTTTGACAGAATCTCAAAGTTGACTCCACCTGTGGAACAAACAAGCAAAATTAATTATCACCCCCAAATCATTTGACAAACCAATATCAATCTTAAATTCATTACAAAAACACTTATATTCGAATGATCACATTGGTTAGTTGGAAATCCACGATTTATTAAATTTGAAACTTATTTCGTCACCTTTAATGATCAAAATACATAACAACCACTTTATCACCCATTTGAAATTGAACTCTACCACCCTCTATTAAAAGATTAGAATCAAAAACATAGAAAAAGAAACTCACCAATCCTAGACTGGGTGCCTCTAAAGCATTTATCAATGACCTCCTCGCATAGTCCAACAGCCTCAAAGATCTGAGCACTCTTGTATGACTGTAGAGTACTGATGCCCATCTTCGCCATGACCTTGGCCAGACCAGTTTCAATGGCTCCTTGATAAGCCTTGTAGATGTCCTCGTCAGTTAGATTAGGGTCCAAAATATGGTCGTTGCGGAGAGCGAATGCTAGTTCGAAGGCTAGGTATGGGCAGATCGCGTCCGCACCGTAACCTGGGGACAAAAATGTTTTTAATTTTTAATTAAGTCAATATATTTTTGTTGTATTTTTATTTATAATTATGTAGTTAACTTTTGCTAATGAGTGTTCGAGTCTAAAGATGGCGTTGGCTTAATAAAGTATGCTAATTTCAGTTGAAATTATGGTAGACCTTGTTTATAAATCCTTTACTTTCTCCATGGAATTCACATGGCAAATTTAAACTTCTGAAATCCTTTAGTTTCGAGTGTCCATTGAAGGTAGTCAGTCAGTCAATCAGTCATGGAGGAGGTTTTAACTGTCAAACACCAAGCGGTCACCGGTGACCGCAACCTATTTTTCTTTAATTGTGTCTATAAATACGGTGCTCGACGAGTTAAATACATTGATTTTATTTAATTAATAATGTGGCAATTAGTAGTGAATCTGCCTTACCAAGTAGCACACACATGTGATGAACTTCTCTCGCCTCCGCAGTCTCCAGTATGATGCCGACCTTCATACGCTGACGAGTCTCAATCAAGTGGTGGTGGACAGCTCCTGCAGAAGGAAATAGTGTATTATTGTAAAATGTTTGTAGAATTTTATGTTTTGAGTTTGGGCATGAGATTTATCAAGATTAGTAAGAAGTTTTCGTGAAGATGATTTTTGACATATTTTCTTTGTATCAATAATTTTATTCTATACAAAGTCTACTTTTTGTGACAATTTATCGTTAAAGATGTCAGAAACAGTCCATCAAATCATTTATATTTCTTTGAACAAGTAACGCTAAATCAAACTGCTGTTTGTCCGTCAATTATGTTGAAACTACTGAACAGATTTTAATGAAATTTGGTATACAGACAGGGTATGGGCTGACTTAGGTGATACTTTTTATCCCGATTAAACGCTCCCATGGGATAAAACAGGCATCATATTCTACGCGGCCTATGTCGTGGGCAACAACTAGTTGTATTATAAAGGTACCGTACCGAGCGCCAGCAGCGTGCTGACGGGCAGCCTGCGCGGGCCGGCGGCGCGGTCGGACAGCACCAGCAGTAGTATTATAAAGGTACCGTACCGAGCGCCAGCAGCGTGCTGACGGGCAGCCTGCGCGGGCCGGCGGCGCGGTCGGACAGCACCAGCAGTAGTATTATAAAGGTACCGTACCGAGCGCCAGCAGCGTGCTGACGGGCAGCCTGCGCGGGCCGGCGGCGCGGTCGGACAGCACCAGTAGCTGGTACCCGGCGGCGGCCGCGGCGTGCGCGGTGCTGGCGATGTGTGTCAGCGCCGGCTCCAGCCCCGCGGGGCCCGCACTGTACTCGAACGTGCAGTCGATTACCTTCGTCTGTGGACGTCGGAAGATTACAGTCACTAAACTTTAAAGATGCCTATGAAAAGGATTGGCCAGAGAAAGCTATAAGAGATGAGTGGAAGGAGGGCAAGGAGGCCTTTGCCCTGTAGTAGGACGACTGTAAAAACCAAAAACTAATAACAAACAAAAAGTCAATACTAAAAAGCAAAAAATAACTATTATTAGTACTGATGGGTTACCCACCCACTGATAGGTAAGAAGTCGGTGCCATAAGTTCCATACAAAATTATTCATTAAAACCTTAATAGGTATCTAATTCACAATTTTGTGGACATTAAGTTATATCATTATGATATGAGCTTATGGCACCGACTTCTAACCTATCAGTGGGTGGGTAACCCATCAGTACTAATAATAGTTATTTTTTGCTTTTTAGTATTGACTTTTTGTTTGTTATTAGTTTTTGGTTTTTGAAGTCGGTTTTTTAAACGCAGTTTTTATTTTATTATTTTACCATTTTCAGTGTAAAGCTACATATACCCGTTTTGTTACTTATAATATACATAGGTGCAAAGTCCTCATCAATACAAATTAATCAAGCCCAAACTCAAGGTAGTTACTGTATACTGTTGAGGAGTTCCTTTAACAATTACACTTCTTCATCATCAGACCCTTAATGACAGCCCCACTCTATCTAGGTGTAAAGTCCTCATCAATACAAATTAATCAAGCCCAAACACAAGGTAGTTACTATAAACCGCTGAGGAGTTCCCTCGACTGTCTGTCGACTCCATCATCAGGTCGACTCCAGACCCTTATTAAATTGTAGTGTTTAAATTTCGTAATTGGAAAACATAATAGACGCATTACTCCCCCATAGAATTTTTGAAAGTTCCCCTCGGTTTCCCTAGGATCCCATCATCAGATCCTGACTTCATGGAAATGGGACCATCTCGGGAGTATACCCTTTCAAACAAAACAAAAATTTTTGAAATCGGTCCACAAACGGCGGAGTACTGCGCGAACAAACAAAAAAAAAAAAAAAAAAAAAAACAATCAGCCGAACATAGTACCTCCTCCTTTTTTTGAAGTCGGTAAAAAGGTGCGTCACTACGTACGAAGCGAGTCCCTTTTTATAGAGTTTGCAAGTTATTGATTATCAATGGTGAGATAAAAAATACACTAAGTTATGTTTGATTTAAGAATATATTAAATTCTACAAATGATGGTTTAACTGATTAATACTAAAAGATGATTTGATTTGATTTGTACGAGTAGACCGGCGATTGCGTACTACTATTGAACGTAAAATTCGATGCCTTTTATAAAAGTGTTTGTACGTAAAATGCTGAGCTGTTCGGTTGCGTTGCTCCGAACATATTCCCGACTGCAAGATGAATTGAAAGCACAAACTTAATCAAACCATCGAACACAAAACTAAACAATAAAATGCAAAAAATAATAATAAACAAAGACAATAATAAATGTAACAGAAAACTAGAAACATAAACTACTACTTACTATTTTAGTATATAGTAAAATTAGTTACATGTACAGAAATGATAAAAGAATAAATTTCTGTCCATCTTACTTAAACTAAAGAGTCCTCCACAGTCACAACGCGTTCTCTTCGCGGGATAGGTACCGTAGACCTATTCGTATTATTTGTTTTACGCATAGTGCTTGGCCACCGTTTGGCTAGAAATGAACTTAAGTTTGTTTGTTCACTATCACTAAGCTGACGATCAGCTGTACTCTGCTTTCGCGATCTCACTTCACTGTTCACATCACTGATTGTTTTTGGTGTGGTGGCCAGCGACTTCTGTCTCTGGAAAGCTTCCCCACCTGCACGACGAAGGGGCAGCGAGCAATATCTCGTCCATGTCCAGACTGCTGCTCCACCTACTGCCATAGCCAACAGTACGTAGGTTATGGTGTAAAGGTGAATATCATGAGACGAGATATCATCAATATCTGCTTTGCTCGACTTTAGACCTTTAATCTGTTCACCTAGCATGGACAAAGATTTATTCAAGCCTTGCTTCTCTATGATGTCTTCTGGTGATTCTTCGTCTAATGGAACGTTTATCTTTACGATATGGTTTATCTGATCGAGCTCAGGTATTTGAATATTTGGTGCGATTTCTAATTGGTTTATTTGTTTTTGTAAGGAATATAATGCAAAATCCTTGCCCTTGATAAAACACGATTGACTCAAGCTAATGACCCCGGCTCGAGTCAGCTGTTCGACGGAAACTTGATCATCACATATGATTTTTACTGAATAGCTGCTACAGCAAAAGTACAAGTATTGTGACGTAGAGTGTAATTCAAACCATTTGTTTTGGCATACTGATTTTTCAACGTTGCAATTATTGGTGATCGGATTAAGATTACAAAAATTTTGATCATTTTGTAAACTGAGGATTGGTTTAAACAGTTCACACATGAATAATTCTTCATGAAGCAAGCATGTATTTAGCTCATGAATGGTTGGTATGAAATAAGCGTCCTTTCTTAAATTTACTGCAACATAATCAGATACTGGTATTACTGTTATCATACTCTGGTTGTTTTCGTGCGGAACTGGTAGTATCTTATACAATTGAAAATTTTCTCTTGAAATAAGAGGAAATGTTATTTCAAAAATTATGTAAGTCTCCGTGACTCTTGCTTTGATTTTCAATAGCTTGTAAATGTGTTGAAGGTCAGTTTCGAGGTTCTCAATAGGCAAAGTCAGATCTTTGGGCATTTGCCCATAAATAATTTGCAATTCTCTTTTAATTTGTGCTGGTGTTAGAATATGTAAGCTGATTTGGCCATGGTGTATTTCAGAAATGGTATCGATTAAGGTTTCTTGGATTCTCTTGAGGTTGTGCATTAGATTAATGGTAGCGATGGATACAAAGGTGAAGTCTTGGTGTATAGTCATCACATCAATTTCTTTTTGTATATTACTGGTCGCAAAATCTAAATTATGTAGATGTTTGTTTATAATTTTGTGCTGTTTTTCTATCATATTTTCTGTTCGTTGTAAAATGTTATGTTCCGCTTCAACTATAGACGTTTGGTTCTTCCATAACTGAGCCAGGTGGTTTTGATTACGGTGTACAAGTTCAATGTCCTGTTTGTATTTTTCTGCGAAACTCTCGTCTAATACGCCAAACAATGAGTTAGCAATTGAACCGACTGCGTTGATAAGACCGCGTCGGGTTCGATTGCGAGTATTATAATGCTGACTAAGTAACAGCTGGTTGTAATATTGTAATTCATTGTAATCGTGACGTATTTGTAGTAGGATCATATGACAGTGACTCGGTTCCTTGATGGTTTCGCACGTTTTTTCGAGATAATTGGTGAAATCTTTAATCGCCTTCTCTCCTTGCCAAGGGGACATATCGTAGAAGGTGACAAGTTTCCAGTTATCTCGAATCAATTGTATTTTTCCCAGTGGGTCAAAATACAAGGTTTGGTTGCTGTTTAGTTGTTTGTAAGTAAAGGATGCAGTGGTCGGTGATATGATATTAAGGAACATTAACAACGCCAGTGCTATGTTCACTATCCTCGGATGAGTTGATGAGTCAGTGTGTCGTCTACTTCTTTCTTCTGGTTGAACATTTTCCGTCTCTGGTGTTATTGTTTTGGGTTCTACTTGACGTTCTATCGGTAAAACCGAAAGCTTCACTATAGGCCGCTTGACATATCCGTTTTTGGTTTTTAAGGTAACTACTCTTACTAGGTCATCCTTTCCGGGGTGTACTTCGGTTATACGGCCGACTGGCCACTCTTCCCAGCTGGTAAATTATCTTCCATTATAATGACCACATCTCCCACCTTAACGTTTTTCTGGTACTTAAACCATTTATTTCTGGCAGACAATTGTGTTAAGTATTCGCGTTTCCATTTCTTCCATAAATCTTCGTATAATTTGGTTACTAATTGCCACCTGGTTCTGGCATCTTCTGCTGTCTCTATCACAGTCACGCCTGGTCGTGTTGTTAAAAAATGGGCTGGTGTTAGGAAATCGAGGTCTTCAGGATCTTCTGTAAGCGCACAGAGTGGACGAGAGTTAAGACATGCCTCCAGCTTTGCCAAAAGTGTGCAATATTCCTCGAAGGTGAGCTTTTGATGGCCGATAACACGCTTGAGGTGGTGCTTAAGGCTTCGTACGGCTCTTTCCCAAAGTCCTCCCGCGTGTGGACACGACGGTGCGTTGAAGTGCCATTCAATTTGAAGTTCGGTAATCTCTTTGTAGAAGCTTTCGTTAAACGTTTGTTGAAGACACTCGTACTCTTCTTGAAGTATTCGATTTGCTCCGACAAAGTTGGTACCATTGTCGGTATAGATATGACGTGGTGTTCCACGCCGCGCTGCCATCCTGTTAAGTGCAGCTAAGAAGGCCGAACTGGTGAGGTCGGATACAAGTTCCAAGTGCACAGCTTTTGTTGCCATGCACACGAAGATTGCAATGTATCCCTTAGTGGTTTTAATTACTCGGCCTTTATTTGATTTGATTTCCACAAATCCGGTATAATCGATGCCGCAGTGGTGAAAGGGCATCGCAGGATTCACTCTGGGTGATGGTAAGTCGCCCATAAGTTGGTACTGTCGAATAGGTTGTTGTTTGTGGCATATAATGCATTGTCTTATAAACTTTTTAGTAGCCATATATCCGCTGATGATCCAATATTTTTGTCGAATATTAGATAATGTAAGGCGCGCTCCACCGTGGAAGGTTAATTCATGAGCTTGTTTTATTATTAATGTGGTAATTCTGTGATTATGTGGTAATATTATTGGATGTTTCATTTCAGGATTTATGTTAGCGTTTCTTAATCTACCACCTACCCTTATAATCCCATCTTGGTCTAAAATCGGGTTTAAATTTATAAGTTTACTTTTCGAATGCAATTTTCCTTTGTTTACTAAGGAAGTTATGTCCTCAGCAAATTCTATTTGTTGAACATTCCTGATAAATATAGTATTTGCACGACGTAGCTCTTGTAACGTGAGATAGGTTGAACGCATTTTGT